GTCGGCCAAAGGCCCGAGGGCCTGGCAGGCTGGGACTCGGGCTCCGGTCCTTGCCGCTGTCGTAGCATCCGCCGCATCGAGGATGATAGCCGCGACGGGCTCCTTCTCTTTCGTCGCCGTGGGTGCGCCTGCGGGCGTCGATGGTGCTGCGCATGTCACGGTTGTGGCCGAGACGTTGATGTACCGGGATAGCGGAGCGCTACCTGTTGCCTGGCGGCGTCTGGTGAACGGAAGCGTCCATGGCGGGACATACCGAGGGCGTGCGTTGGCTGCTGTCGGGTTCGCGTCGTCGAGACAACGAGCTTTCCGCCTGCTGCGCCGCCGCACGCTCGAGCAACATGCGAATTTCTTGTCGGGCACGGCGATCCTCGGACGTCGCGGCCTCCGGAAGGCCATGCAGCAAGGCCGTCGCTGCGGCGATGTTCTGGCTTGCCCGAGCGAAGTGAGGGAGAGTCCCATCATTGGTGAGGATCCTCCGATGCACATCACGGGCCGAGGAGCGTGTGTGCCCACCGTCTCCGCGACGCTTGATCTCCTCCTCGATGTTTCGGTACTCCCGGACAAGCTGTTGCCCGGCGTCATCGATCTCTAGCTTTCGTGCTCTTAGCTGCTCCATCCTTACGTGAGATGGAGCCGCCGTCTCCGCCTCGATCCTGGCGTCGGGATTGCCTGTTGGGGTTGTTTCTTCTCTGGAGACGCTTTGGACGTGTCCCTCGGGGGTTTGCGTCATGAAGCATTCCTGGGAAGGGTGACGACTCTGGTTCCTCCGCGAGGAGCCTGTAGAGTGTCTCCGGATCGTGTTCGATTACCCCCACGAACTCGATGTCCGTAGGTGGCTGAACCATGCGTAGTGCTAGAAGGTGGCTGGCGGTCGCCGCGGCGTTGCGGAGACCGAATGGAAACGCTGTCGGGGCGCTTCGTATGGGGCCTTCCGGAAATAGGGTGATGCTGCGCGGGGGCTCCCTGGATAACTGGGGTCCAAGGGAGTCGCCCCGCGGGCCCTCAAGCCTCAGACGGCTAAGGTTGATGGAAGGGAGAGACTATGCGGCCGTGTGGGTCAGCGCCAGTTCTCCTTCTAGTGTGACGATGAAATCTAGGTCGTCGAAACGCACATGTGCGCCCGAGGCCTAGCTGATTGCGTGGGTGGCCATCCGAGGCCTGATTTGGAACGCGCAAGGCCCCTACCTGGCACGCCAACTGTCGGTGTTTCGTATAAGCACCGGCAAGTAAATTTATAGTAATGCGCGTTAGGCTCGGATGGTGCGCCAAAGGACACAAGATTTATACTGGTTCGGGCTGAATATCCCTACGTCCAGTTTGTTGCTGCTCATGTTATTAGCACCGTGAATGGTTCGTAGTAGGGGATACAAATGATCGAGAGAGGGATAGGTCCCAAGTCTCTGATGGAAGGGTCGAAAGGAAGCCAAGAGCTTGGTAGCAGCTTGACTATGTGTGCCTGTTGCGTTGTTTTTCGTCCCCTCTTTGCTGGAGGAAGCGCATCCCCTTTTATAGATGAAGGGGACGGCTTTACAAGGGTCAGGGTTTAGGATACGTGCTCTACCTAGCCTTGTGGCTCACGTCTACCTAGCCTCGTTACCCATTCTGATGGGTGTGAAAGGATGATAAGCGCCTACAATATTGTCGATGCCTCTGTAGAATGTCAGGATGATTACAGAATAGTGCCCTGCGCAGGGTATCGACTGTAGTACCATGGTTTTGACTTATGAACCTCGCCCAGCCTTGCTCCGCATGCCTCCTGGCTCCTATGAGTCTATGTCGGAGGGACGTGGAGTCGAGGTCCGGAGTAGCGCTGTGGGCAAGGTCCTTTGATTTGGTGGACCCGAGGGGTCGGGAAGCGGGCGCCGCTCCCTTGGGTCCATAACGTGGTGACGGCGTGTCCGTCATTCGTGGAGATCACAAATCCTTTTCTGGAGTGTAGTGGTTGTCGTGTATCTTCGTCAGGTTCCATGTCCCAGAGCTGAAGGCGGCGCCTACAACTCTACAGGGCGAGGAGTACGCGCCTGCAATACCTTTTGGGCTCTGTGGCGCTCGGAAGAGTTTAAAGCACCTGTCCAGTCGTTCCCTAGCAGTACCTTTCCTGCCGGGGCGTAGGGTATGGTCCTTGAAGCCGTGGTTGACCCGAACGTCTTATCTTGCTCTGTACCCATCATCATGAGGGAACGGGAGAGAAGTTATCAGGTAAGATGAAACCAGTCTTTGGACATCGAACAGGGCGAGGTTCGTCCTCGGTCGTCGGGCGAGGTGGAGCATAGTCCTTATCCCCTGGGCGTGACCGAGCCCACCCCTCGGGGGTCGGGCGAGGCGGAGTGTATCCCTCAACCCTCGGACGAGGCGGAGACTAGCCTTCAGCCCTCGGGCGAGGTGGAGCTGTCCCGAAGGCGTCGAGCGGAACGGAGGCCAGCCCTTTGCCCTCGGTGTGACCGAGCCCACCCCTCGGGGGTCGGGCGAGGCGGAGTGTATCCCTCAACCCTCGTGCGAGGCGGAGACTAGCCTTCAGCCCTTGGGCGAGGCGGAGCTGTCCCGAAGGCGTCGGGCAGAACGGAGGCCAGCCCTTTGCCCTCGGGCGAGGCGGGGCTGGCCCAAAGGCATCGGGCAAGACGGAACCTAACTTTCGTCATTCGGGCAAGGAACGCAGCGGCGCCCTCGTCCGTCCCGAAGTTTTTAACGTTCGATGGTTATTAGTTCCCCCTTCTGGGGTACCCTGGTATTAGGTCCCCGACAGGCCCATACACTTGGACTTTGAGAGGTTGGCGGTGGTATAGGTCTCCGTTGGGTGAGGCGGATCCCACAGCCTTAGGGTCGGGCGAGGCGGAGGCCTCCCCCAGAGGCCGGGTGAGACGGAACGCAGACCCAAGGGTCAGGTGAGGCGGAGCCCGCGGCCTCGGGGTCGAGCGAGGCGAAGTCCTCCCCTAGATCCTGTAGCCTCGGTGTCGGACGAGGAACCAGCCCTTAGAGGTCGGGCGAGGCAGAGCCTGTAGCCTCGGTGTCGGCCGCGGCGGAGTCCTCCCCCAGAGGTCGGGCGAGGCGGAGCGCAGACCCAAGGGTCGGGCGAGGCGGAGTCCTCCCCCAGAGGCCGGACAAGGCGGAGCCCGTAGCCTCGAGGTCGGTCGAGGCAGAGTCCTCCCCCAGAGGCCAGGCGAGGCGGAACCAGCCCTCAGAGGTCGGGCGAGGCGGAGCCCGCAGCCTCAGAGGTCGGGCGAGGCGGAGCTTGCGCACCTGGGGGTCGGTTGGAGTTGTAGTCGCGCTCTTGACTGTTCGGATGTATCAATGTTGATGGTTATTAGTCACTCCTCTTCAGGTACCCTAGTATTGGTCCCCGACACCATCACACTTGAGTTAACCCTTTTTACGTGAAGTGAGCACGAAAGTGCAAGCGGTTGATGAGAGTGTGCGGTTCACTCAACGTGTGGACAAAACGAGGATTAAGTCCAACAGTGCATTTCCCATTTGGGTAACACTTTCAGCTATTTTGTTCCAAATCCTAAAGTTTATCTGTCAAATATACTCTCGATCTATATAAAATAGAGTTAATTACGCTAGCATCCCATTAACTTATCACTGTTGGTCGCCTACTTGGGGTATCGATGTGGACACTAACCTGTGGGACCCAAATGTCATCCAAACCATATTTGTCTTGTTCCTCCCATTGTTCTCTCTCATCCGTCAACCACGATCAGGGACAAGGGGCCGGTCCGCCAGTGTGCTGGTGACGACTGACGAATGCAGGCTCTGGCTGCTATGTGGATGACATGTGGACCCCATAGGTCGGTGTCCCCTTTGGCCATGCCACTTAGGCACCAAGGTGATTATACTGAACTAGAAAAAAGCGAGTTTGCATATCTAAATGGTGATCTTTGGTATATTTTACTCTATATATAAAATACGTGCTGCATTAGACTTTGCATATGGCCTTTGATGCACATTTATTTTACCAGTACCTTCTTTTAAAATATAATATAAAATCCATAAATTTTAAGAGACCCTACAACTATATTTTGTCCATCTCCTTGAATAAATAGATTCCTAGAGTTGTATTAAATCAAAATTTTAAAACTTTGACCAAATTTCTAAAAAAAAGCCGTCAAAATTTATGACATCAAGGTAATATCATTAGATATACCATAAAATATTATCATAGATATTGTTACTTTTTTCTATAAAGTTAGTCAAATTTAAGATAGTTTAACTTGCACGGATTCTAGGAATTGATTTATTTGGAAACACAGGGAGGATAATTCTATGTACAAAACTTATTATTCTTTGAACTAAATAATCAAAAGTTAATTAGTAATGTTTATAGTTTTCAGGGTCGAAGCTCATATATTATTTTTTGAAACAATGGCAGGAGTTCTGCCTTTCAATTAAGACGAAAGAATAGGAACTGCTATAGTCCATGAGCCTGAAGTTTCGTTTTTTTTTTCAAGCGACGTTCTCTGCCGTTGGATGAAGATCCAACGCCCCCGGCTGATCCAGCCATTGTTCATCTTCTTCCTCAGCCTTTCAGCCCAAGTCCCAACTCCTATCCGCCCCCTCCCCCCCCCCCCCTCCCCCCCTCCCGCTGTCGCCCACCGCACCACCCCTACCGCCCATGGCGGCCTCCCTCTTCCCCTCCCCCCTTCAGTCGCCGCTTTCTTCTCTGACTCCAGCTGGTCCCTTCTATACCCGCCAGAGTTGGAGAAAATAGAGGGGGGAGAGGCCGGAGAGGGAGGCCTGAGAGTTGGAGAAGAACAGACGTGGGCACGGGACGCCGGAGATGGATGTGGTCACGATGGGCGTCGTCCAGGAGACTGGATTGTAGGAAATGTGCGAAAGAATTTATGTACAAGGAAGTTCATATATTTGACACTCTGAATTGTTGGGTTCCACCGCAAGACCATTAGAGGGAATTGAAGACATATTACATAATGATATATAGAAGCATTGACATCTCGGTCGATCATATCGACGGCACAAAAGAGCCGACATGCACGCACAGTACATCACAGCCCATGCATCATCATGCGCGAGAACTCGTCGAAGCACACGAAGCCGTCGCCGTCGCCGTCGACGCCGCCAATCATGCGGCGGCAGTCGTCAACGGAGCAGCAGTCATCTCCCAGCAAAGCGAGCACGGCGCGGAGCTCCTCGGCCGAGATCCTGCCGTCCCCGTCGGCGTCGAACACCGCGAACGCCTCCCTGAGGTCGCCCTCGTCGCCCGCCGCCGCTACCGCGTCGACGACGAGCCCGGCATCCGCCTCAGCGAGCATCTCCGCCAGCTCCTCCTCACTCGAGACCACCCGGCGCAGCGCCACCTCCAGCTCCTCCCGCGTCACCGCCGGCGGCTTCCAGCTGCTAGTCCTGCTGGTGCTGCCCGCCCCGGGCGCCGACGCCCGCGGTGGGGAGGGTGACAGGAGGACGGTGCGCGGCGTGGTGACGGCGAACGCGCACTCGTGGGAGGACGCGGTGGAGCTGAACGAGCTGCCACCGCCGCTCTTCTTGCCGTCCTTTGACCGTCTCCGGCTCTTGCTCGCCTTGCTCGCCTTGGGAGAGGCGGCGGCGGAAGAGGAGCCGCCGCAGAACGGCACGCTAAGCTTCATGGCTGTGGTTGCTGGTACGTACCTTGCTTGCAGGTGGTGATCGAGGAGGACACGTCGAGGAAGGAAGGTGGGGATCGGAGGCGATCGATCGAGATCGACCGACCACGAGCAGGGTGGAGAAGACGAGAGGGTCCGGGAGGCCGGAGTTTATACGGGAGGGGAGGACGGGACGGGGGAAGTGAGCTTCCAGGAAGCTTAGCGCCGGGCGCGGGAAAGGAACTAGCAACCGCTTCGCACAAACCTTGCTGCGTGGAGTGCGATGCTCTAGGTGACGTCACCTCACGCCGAGTGTTTCCGCTCTTGGACGCCGAAAACAACCTCAAACCAAATGCAAATAAGTTGCCAAACACGAAACATTATTTGATTATTATCTCAATGCTAGTATATATATTTACACAAGTGGACTATATATATATATATATATATATATATATATATATATATATATATATATAACTACTACCCTGTAGCTGGATACAAAATAACTTATTTTGTAGCCACTTTGAGTTACGATAATTACTATGTTAATTTACGAAATTATAGTACCTCTTTACTAAGTGGTTTACTATAACGTTATGGTAAATATCTCCATGTATTATAGTAACCCAACTATCGTAAATATGTATTGACATTATCGTAAATTAGTATATAAAATTATCGTAAATGGAGGTGGCTACTGAATAACTTATTTTGTAGCTGACTACTGAATATATATATATATATATATATATATATATATATATATATATATATATATATATATATGGCAGCGGAAGGAGGTGCTGCCGTGTTGGTAATAATATAGAGAGAGGTGGGCACAAAATGGGACTGATATCGACCTATGGTAACAATTTTATGGTAAAAAAAATTGTTGCCTGGTTGTCTCGTACGTGTTGATAAGGAAGGAGTTGAGTGAACTAGCGGTCCTCAGTTAAAAATCGTAACCGTTCCCGAAATCTCTGCCATCTGCAAAATTTCCGGGATGCTCATAGTGAAAACGCGAAATTACGCATAAAATCCAACTTTCCGGAGGCGTTTCTAGTGAAGACGTGAAATTAAGCATGTATCCCTCTTTTATTCCCCTCCCACGAGCCTAGGCTTGCGCGGTTGCGCCTCGTTCCGGCCGCCGCACGCAACTTCCTCATGAGCTCTACCAGCATGATGCAGCAGGTTCCGTAAAATTCTACTTTTCCGAGACGTTCCTATTGAAAACACAAAATTATGCGTAGAATTTTACTTTTTGAGACGTTTCTAGTGAAGACACGAAATTACACATATAGACTTTTCCTTTATTCCCTGCCCACACGCCTAGGCCTGTGCTTCATTCCAGCCGCTGCATGCAACATTCCTCATGAGCTCTATTATCAGTAAAATGCGGCCGGTTCCGCAAAATTCTACTTTTCCAAGATGTTTCTAGTGAAGATACAAAATTACGCTTAAAATTTTACTTTTTTGAGATGTTCCTAGTGAAGACACAAAATTATGCATAAAATTCTACTTTTCTAGGACGTTCCTAGTAAAGAAACAAAATTACGTATGTATCCTTCCTTTATTCTTTGCCCATGCGCCTAGGCATGTGCCTTATTTCGACCGCCACACGCAACTTCCCCATGAGCTCTGTAAGCATCATGCGGCCGGTTCCGCAAAATTCTACTTTCTCAAGACGTTTCTAGTGAAGAAACAAAGTTACATATAAAAAGTTACTTTTTTGAGACGCTCCTAGCGAAGACACAAAATTACACGTAAAAATCTACTTTTCTAAGTTTCTAGTGAAGACACGAAATTGCAAATGTATCTTCTTTTGTTCTCAACCAACGCGCCTAGGCCTGTGTCTCGTTCCAGCCACCGGACGCAACATTCCCCATGAGCTTATCAACATGATGCGGTCGGTTCCGTACAATTCTACTTTTTCGAGACGTTTCTAGTGAAGACACAAAATTACCATAGAATTTTACTTTTTTCGAGATGTTTTTAGTGAAAGATGCAAAATTACACATATAAATCTACTTTTCTAAGACGCTCATAGTGAAGACACGAAATTATGCATGTATGCTTCTTTTATTCTCTACCCACGCGCCTAGGCATGTGCCTCGTTCCGACCGTCGTTCCTCATGAGTTCTTTCAGTGACGCGCCCGGTTCCACAAAATTTTAGTTTTTCAAGACGTTACTAGTGAATTAAGCATCAAATTTTACTTTTTGAGATGTTCCTAGTGAAGATGAATATTCACAAAAATATAGTTTTTTTAGACGTTCCTAGTGAAGACGCAAGTTACGCATAAAAATATACTTTTCTAGTGAAGATGTTCCTAGTGAAAACACGAAATTACACATGTATCATTTCTTTATTCCCTGCCCTCGCACTCTCGTGCCTCGTTCCAGCCACCACACGCAACGTTCCCATGAGCTCTATCAGCATAATGCGGTTGGTTCCGCAAAATTAGACTTTTCAAAGATGTTACTAGTGAAGACTCAAAATTATGCATCAAATTTTTTGTTTTTGAGACATTCCTAATGAAGAGAATTACTTATAAAATTCTACTTTTTTGAGACGTTCCTAGTGAAGACACAAAATTACACATGTATCCTTCTTTTATTCTCTACCCACGCGCCTAGGCCCATATCTCATTCCGGCCGCATCACGCGAGCTCTATCAGCATGATGCGTCCAGTTCCACAAAGTTCTACTTTTCTGAGATGTTACTAGTGAAGACACAAAATTATGCATAAAAGTTTACTTTTTTTGAGACGTTCCTGGTGAAGACGCAAGTTGAAAGGATCAAGATGCCCAAGAGGAGGGTGAATTAGGCTAATTCTAAAATTTTTTGCAATAATTAAGCTCTACACTTAGCCCATTTCACCCCTTGTGTCTAGAATGTGTTTCTATTGTTCTGCCGTACAAACGTTTTGCACCCTAGGTTCCAATCCTACTCTAGCATGGCAATTCTAGGAATATAAAGACATGAAATGAATTGGTCAAATGTAAATTCTCAAAATAAAGAGAGGGAAAGGAAAACAGCGATGTTTTCCTGAGGTATCAGAGAGTCGCCACTCCCCACTAGTCCTCGTTGGAGCACCCGCGCAAGGGTGTAGCTCCCCTTTGATCCACGCAAGGATCAAGTGCTCTCTATAGGCTAATTCTTTGACACTCCGTCACGGTGAATCGCCCACAACTGCTCACAACATGACTTGGGTCATCCACAAGCTCCGCCGGATGATCACCAAGCTCCCAACCACCACCGAGCTGTCTAGGTGATGGCGATCACCAAGAGTAACAAGCACAAACTCTCACTTGACCAAGACAAGCATAATGAGAAAGGTGGATGCACACTTGCTACTCCCTATGCACTAGTGAGGTCCTTAATCTTGATTATCAACTCTCAATCACCACACTAGGCTCTTGTTTTTCCTTGAACTCCAAAGGCGTTTCACAGCTGAACAATTGGGCAAGAGACCTCCCATGAACGAGTGGGATAAGTATTTATACCCACTCATTCAAAATATAACGGTTGGAGGCCAACTCAGTAAGTTTTGGGGTGACCGGACGCGTCGATCAGGGTGACCGGACGCTTCGGTCAGTAGTACACGTCACTGTGTCAGAGAGAGTTGTTAGCTCTAACCAAACTTTGACCTGCGTCTGGTCATCACCCACCGGACACGTCCGGTCAGCAAAATGCCCCTATGGATGCTCTCTGATGTTGATCGGATGTAGGCACCCTAGCGTCCGATCATGTACTGTTTAGCGTCTAGTCAGTACATGACTGTAGCTGCTGATCAAATGAACTGGCCGGACTCTTCAAGCTGCGTCCGGTCACAACCAAACCAGCGTCCGGTCAGTCATTTGACCCTCCATTCACTTCCAATTCGAAATCCTTCGAGAATGAAGTTGACTTCTATCGATCTTAGGGCTATTCCTGAGCTACCTAGTGCTAAGTTTGACACATGTGCACCACACCTAATCCATTAGACTCACCTAGGTCAAGCTACTAGTCCATACCCCCCTTAATAGTACGGCCAAAGGAAAAACAAAGTCCTAAATTACACTAAGTGTCTCTCTAATGCCAAACGACACTTAGAACTAGTCCGTCCTCAACCCTGTCGTCCATCCTTTTAAAACCAAAACAATTTCCATCGACAGGGGCATGACAACCATGATTGTCCAATCAATTTCCATTACCATGACCTAACTCAAATTGCCTTTGCAAAATACACATTAGTCATAGTAATCTTGTGTCGTCATTAATCACCGAAACCCAACTGGGGGCCTTGATGCTTTCACAAGTTACGCATAAAAATATACTTTTCTGAGACCTTCCTAGCGAAAACATGAAATTACACATGTACCCTTCCTTTATTCCGTGCCCACGCGCTCAGGCCCGTGCCTTGTTCTAGCCGCCACAAGCAAGTTTCCCCATGAGCTCTATTGGCATGATGCGGCCTGTTCCGCAAAATTCGACTTTTTCGAGACGTTGCTAGTGAAGACTCAAAATTAAACATAAAATTTTATTTTTAAAGAAATTTCTAATGAAAAAGCAGAATTTTGTATGAAATTCTACTTTTTAAGACATTTCTAGTGAAAACATAAAATTATGCATGTATCCTTCTATTCCCTGCGCATGCACCTAGGCCCGCGCCTTGTTTTGGTAGCCCGTGTGCAACTTTTCCCATGAGCTCTATAGGCTGAGCACGATGCTATCGAGGTGGCGGTGTTGTAGGACATGCTCAACTGCAGCGACACCTCTGTCCCTGTCCTCTAATTCTGAAGATGATGTTGCCGTCACTAGTCCTTTTGTCCCACCTCGGAGGCTCCGAGTGCTAGCCTGGGCGTGCTGGCATGCCATCGTGGCACCTCCTGCGATCGATCCTGCCTATACCGAGATTTGGGACAACACGAGAAATGAAACGAAAAAAGGATGCATAAGCCAAGACGATGTGACGGCAACATCAAAGTAAGCCTTGGCACTCCATCCAGAGTTTCCAAGTGGTTGATTGCTGGTGTCGTC